GACATCCCAGGTCTAAACATCATAGGTCTCAAACTGGATTCCAGGAGGCCCGCAGCTCTGCACAGTTTTGCTCCAACCCTAATCAAACACAGCTGATCAAACTAATCAAGGTGTTCGAGACTCTTCTGACCAACTGGATTAGTTGGATCAGCTGTCTTTGATTAGGGTTGGAGCAAAACTGTGCAGAGCTGCGGCCCTCCAGGAAATGAGTTTGAGACCCATGGTCTAAAGGTTGTTTTCAATCACGTGGTTCTGGTGATGCACAAAATTCAGATGGAGGGAAGTAAGTAAAAAAACTGAATGGGAGACTGAGAGGAAAGTCCATATTTTTGCGAAGGGAGTCATTTCTCCTATAGGAAACTTGAATCTGAAGTTTTAAAACAATCGCAAAAACGAGCAAACTTCCGCATTGAAGAATAAGGTCAATACACACACGGCTGCTTGACACTAGTCTCTGCACCTACCGAATCAGTAGAAAACCACAGACACACACACACACACACAACATGAAATGCAGTTTTTTTCCCCCATACAGCATGCATTATCAAGTGTTAAATTAAAACAACACTTACAGCCGTTCGTGCTAGAGATCTGCACGAGACTAAATTTTTCATCCCGCTCCCGCCAGGTTTTAGTCCGATTCCGACCGCTTCCACTTATATTCACTATTTTTGTCCCACTGCCCAATCCGTTTTTACCCACCGCGACCATTCTCGCTAAGGCATGTGAATGACACAGCATCATGCTCTCTCATTCACACAAATACATACGTGTGCTCGCTCGGGAGCGATATTGTTAGAGACCGCCCGCTCCCATTTAAATTACACCAGTTACTGACGGCTCCTGCGCTTTTTCTTAAACTTTGATCGAGTCCCGCGGCTAGTTCATACTCGCATCCAATATCTCATCTGTCATGGGGACATGCATGAAATGATCGTGAATAACAGTAAAAGTGCCAAACTGCAGTTCAAGAGTTCACACTTAGCTGATAATCAATTAAGCGTATTTGGCATGCTGTCCCGGGAGAGAGCCCTGAGCTCGTAATATCCTCGAGCCCGGGGCTCCCTCCCGTTAGAAGGGCGAGAGGGGAATTCGAGGTCAGGTAGGTCTCGAGAACTCCCCTGCTTGTCACCGTGAGAAGTGTGAACTCAGGTTGTATTGGGTGATAATTTGTTTTAGTCGATTGGCTACGGTTTGTGTTTTTGGACGGTGGGAGGAAACCGGGGAACCCGGGGAAAACCCACGCGAACACGGGGAGAACCTGCAAACTCCACACAGAAACACCAACCGGCCCGATGGGTTGGACTGGCGGTGTTCTTGCTGTGAGGCAACAGTGCTAGCCACTGGGCCACCGTGTCGCCCGATCAGAAAAAGTGGGAGGATATAGGGGTGGAAAGGGGCGGAGCTTCAAGACGAAGATAACTGGAGTGAAAAACTCAGGTTATTTATAATGCTTCCGTAATCATCTAATAAGGTTGATTACGGAGCTAACAAGGAGCCAGCCGTGTTGATTATAAGCACGTGATCCTCTCGAAATTAGTTTATGAATAAACCACACTTAAAGTCGACAAATTAAAAATTAAATAGCCAAAATTACATAAAACTCCAGAGGAAACATGGATAGCGCTGTGATGCGATGACGTTAATCGAATTACAAGCTATAACATGTAAAATGGGACCATGAAAGGAACATTCAAACACTGGAACACCTTCATCATATTATTGTCTTATTCAGATTAAGGCAAATCATTTCATTACTGATGTCCATGTAAAGGCAGTCACTGATAACACTTATTTGTATCAAACATATACAGGAAGTCTAATTGAACGGCACAAAAGTGTACAGTAGTTCAACACAGCCGAGTGGGCGCAATACTACATCATAAGGCAGCAGCGGTACAATCACAACATGCAGAAAAACATTCAAAATACAATCTTATGGTGCCTTCAAGTCCTCATGTAAGGTTCGCATTGAAATTTTTACTCAATCTCAAGTTTTTCCAAACCTTTATGGGTTTGCTTTTGCTGTTGGACACACGATAATATAGGATATTTGATACTGGAAACCATTGAATTGCATAGAAGGAATAAAATACTATGGTAGTCAATGGCTTCCAGTTACAGAGTAAATAAATGATGACTGAATTTACATTTTCTTGAGGTGGACTGTCACTTTAAGAGTTGAGAAATTTTAATTACTGTGTCAGGTGTGTTCAAATCACTATGGTCGGAACAAGATGGGGGACGTACCTTTTCAACAAACATTACGCCCCAAAAATAAAGTGTTTTAGATTTTTAGCTTTAAAAAATTATGATATCCATAATGGTACAATATTCTTACATTTAGTACACGGCTCTCTGGAATACTTGATTCTGATTGGTCAGTCGAACATTCAATATATGTTGTTCACAAGACTCTTTAAAATTCTTGATTCTGATTGGTCAATTGTGATATGTCAAGGTATGTTATTTACCATAATTACACTGTTCTCTGGAATACTAGATTCTGATTGGTCGTAAGTATTTTACGTTTTGTCAGTTTAGCGGCTAATTCAAAGTTATAGTCATACGAAATTGTACAATTTTAAAAAGGAGGCGTGGCACCTAACCCCACCCCTAAACTTGACCGTCATTGGGTGATGAGCAAATCGTACTAAATTGTACAAGTTAGATCGTAAGAGTTTATACGAATTAGCCACTAAATCAAAAAGTTACAAATTGCCGTGAGATTGTGTTGGTTATTTATATTCTTCTGGGCCAGTTGCACTAGCAGTGCTTAAGTTAAAATGTAGCCTAGTTGTGACTGAAAGGGATACCAAGTTACAATTTACGCACTACTAAATATTTGTGTGTTGCAGCATTTCACTTAGTTTAAAAGTATGCCACAAACATAAAGTGTTTGGGATTTTTAGCTTAAAAAATGGTGCTATCCATAATGATACAATATTCTTGCATTTAGTACACGGCTCAGGGGAATACTTGATTCTGATTGGTTGATCGAACATTCTATATATATTGTTCACAGTTATTACAAGACTCTGTAAAATACTTGATTCTGATTGGTCAATTGTGATATTTCAAGGTATGCTAGTTACCATAATTAACTGCTCTCTGGAATATTAGATTCTGATTGGTCAGTTGGAACATTCCAAGGTATGTAATTCGCCATTATTACACGGCTCCTTGGAGTACTTGATTCTGATTGGTCAGTCGCAACATTCCAAGGTATGTTATTTACCATAACTACACTGCTCTCTGGAATAATTGATTCTGATTGGTCAATCGCAACATTCAATATATTTTATTCACCATAACCACAGCTGTCTGTAGCATATCTGATTCTGATTGGTCAGCTGCAACTTTCCAAGGTATGTTATTTTCCTTATTACAACTGCTCTCTGCAATACTTGATTCTGATTGGTCAGTTGCAACAATCAAGATATTTCATTCCTCGTTATTACATGGCTCTCTGGAATACCTGGTTCTGATTGGTCAGTCACAACATTCAAAGGTATGTTATTCCCGGTTATTACACTGCTCTCTGGAATACTTGATTCTGATTGGTCTGTCTCAACATTCCAAGTTATGTTACTTGCCATTATTACATGGCTCTCTAGAATACTTCATTCTTATGACATTTCAAGATATGTTTTTTTTACCATCATTAAACTGCTCCCTGGAATACTTGATTCTTATTGGTCAGTTATGACATTTCAAGGTATGTTTTTTTTACCATCATTAAACTGCTCTCTGGAATACTTGATTCTGATTGGTCAGTCATAACATTCAAAGGTATGTTATTCCCAGTTATTACACTGCTCTCTGGAATACTTGATTCTGATTGGTCAAAGGCAACATTTTAAGGCGTGTTATTTTTCGAAAATAACTGATAAAACTACTAATTGTACTAATATAAGTACTATGACTCATCTTAACCATTTAATGAATATATTCGTGTACAAATTTATACGTTTGTCACTCTGCTGTTCTTGACTGTTTGGTGCCACCTTGTGACCGATAAATAATAATAACAATGTTATCGTGGGCTGCAGCCATTTGTTAAGAACAAACTTTCTTTCTGCAGGCTTTATGTATTATTAAAGAGCTAGTACATTGAAACAGCTCAGATCAATGTTTTGTGTCTCAATTGTTTAGTTTTGTGGCAAGTGTAATAAACAGAATAATGTACATCCAGCCGGTTTTTACAACAACTGCAGTCACAACAGCTGCTGATGAACACATTGAGATTTAATCTGTGATAAAAACCATTTGGGTGCACATTATCCCTTACTTATATTAAAAAAGGAATTGATAACCTCATCAAGTTTTCCGTTTTTGTGTACAACATTAAACAACCCAAGCTCATTCTGAAAACGTAGTCCCGTGGACGTTTCTGGAGACAGCGGAATACGTCCCGGGAGGTACGTACGGCTGCATTTATTTTTTTCAAGCGAACGCCGCGGGGCGGTGTGACGCTGTTCCCTTTCGCACTTGCCGGCTGACCGCTTACCTCCTTGTGGAGGGCTTTCCCGCTGCAACCCGTTTGTCCACTCAGCTCACCGTGTAACGTCGGCAGGCTCGAGATGCAGAGAGGAGGAGTTGACCACGGCGATCGGTTTCGAGTCCGGGGAAGAGCCGTTCCAGCAATCAGGTAAGACAAAAACAGAATCCCGAAAATTAAGTGAACGAGTTTCATAACAGGGTGAGAACGCGGTGAAATCCGAAAACGCGGTAGAAAAAAAAATGAGGGCTTTTCTTTTTTTGAACGGCTTTTGTAAACTGTTGCTCGGGTTTAGGGAAGCGAGCGGGCGGACGGGTCAATCGGTAAAATTGGTTGGGTTCAGGGAAAGAGGAGGGCGGTCAGCCGATTGGCCGGTCGTGCAGTCAATCATCCGGTCAGTCGGACAGCGGCCTCTGGCGGGTTGACGCGAGAACAGCGCGGGCGCGAACCGCACTCGCGAGAGACGTTCAAGATGAGAAAAATCACACAACAGCGGCCTCTCGCGGATTCGCAAAAACAAAAACTGCAGCCGTACGTACCTGCTGGGACGTATTCCGCGGTCTCCAGAAACGTCCGCGGGACTACGTTTCCACAATGAGCCTGGGTTGACATTAAAATACCCCTCCCCCACTGTAATTTAGAAAATCCTGACTTTCTGACTTATATTGGAATGCTTGAATATTCAACCTATAAATATGATATCTGTGACTTGTATGCACCATTTATCAATCAACATTTGACTCCTGCTCCTGAAACTGCACACTGTCTTTGGCTTTTGTCAAGGAAAAGATGATGTTTTGCTCGCTTACACAGTCACAAACACTAGTCGAGCCGAATACGCCAGATCCGCCAGGTAGATAAGGAAGTTGAGAGCGGTGAGAACGGCCACGGCCACCAATTTATCCCATGGACACAAACCCTGGCGGGATTGACATTGGTACGGTCTGTTTGATTGTCCATTATAACGGCTGTCAAACTTGAAGACGGGCCAAATGATAGTGGCAGTGAGGTACATGAGGACGGCCAACAGCGCATAAGCAGAAAGAAAGCGCGCAAACGGGAAAGGCAAACACCCAGTGCATTCGCCAATGCACAACACTACGATGGCTGCCGAAATCACGAAACAGATGCAGTAGACGGCCAGGCACCATTTCAAAGCGGAGTGAGAGTCGTAAGAAATAGGGTCACTGATAAACACAAATATCACGCTTGCTACGAAGGTTTCACAGACTTTCAGTAGACCGGGAACTGTCGCCATGTACCCGGCAACTTCGCCCGGTCGAGCCCGTGCCAGACTCACTTCCACAAAGTACGCGATTGTGGCCAGACAGGAGAACACAGATGCGGCGATACGGTGGTCACGGATCTCATTGTAGGTTGTTACGCCCTTTAGGAAGTACAAAGGGAAAATGATGGACGCGGTCAGGCAAAGTAATGCAGCGTAGCAGGCGAATGTAATAGGGAAGTTATTCCAGGACACAGGCGAGCGAGACTGGAGACCCAAGAGCTCCACCAGCAGGACGACCAGGGTTCCGGCGAAGCTGAAAGCCCAGCAGAAGATGCTCCAATCACCAATGCTGCCATTGAGCGATCCTCCATGGGACGCCACGCTAAAGGCCACACAGGTAAACACCAGCGCCGCCAAACGCGCCCACATTAATTGGGTAGGCCTAAAAACCACCACAGGCATGATGTTGGATGTTTCTCAGACGTGTGTTGAGTCCTTCTGGTGACTCTGAAAAGGACATAAAAAAGAGGCAGATGACCATCTGAAACAACAAAACATGCAAAGCAGTTGTCACAGTTGTGTCACCTCGCAGCTGTGGTTGAAAAACACTAGTAACAAGTGGAGGAAATGGGTAAATCTCATAGAATAATTGAAAAAAGACTGCCTTTTCAGGCCATCTGCAGATAACATGATATCAAATTTAAGACTTTTTACGACCTTTTAAGACTAGGGATTAGGGATGGGAAGATTAACCGATATGTATTGATACGCGGTCATGCGCGTGCACGATGCGAGTGCATCGGTAGAGCAGCAGAGGATGAATGAAATTTTGGAAGCAAATCGAGATGCATCGGTTTTTGCGAGATGCATCGGTTTTTCCAAGATACAGCTTATATTTTTAATATAGAATGTATTTTTTTATTTATTAACAAGTGTTGTCAACCTGTTTTTGGCGCATAATTTAATCGACCTACATAAAGTAAGCCTTAGCAACAGACTTGCGGATGTGTACACTTACACTACAACTCAGTGTATCAGGTGTTCGGATGAAGCTAGTGGTGCGCCCTCAGAAAGCGCGAGAAGCAAAACAAACATTTTATTCCCCACTGGGTTTAAAATCTAAAGTATGGCAACATTATGGATTTAAGGATGGACGACTTGACAGGACAGATGCAATTTGCAAAATGTGCCGCGCATCTGTAAAATACGCGGGCAGTACGACTAATCTGAAATCTCACTTGAAGCGGCGCCACGGTGTTGTTGTGAAAGCATCTTCCAGTGTTCCTGCATCCCCGGCTTTCTGCTCTGCTTCAACTGTAGCTACCAGCTCCAAAAGTGGTGAGAAAAGCATTGCAAGTTTTTTTTCCATGCGCAACAGTTTTGTGCGCTCTATGCTAATAACGGATGTTACTGCATTATTCATCTGCAAAGATATTCAGCCTAGTGTCACGGAGAACGAAGGTTTTAAACACCTCCTCCTGTTAATTTGTATTTAATTATATTTTTATTAGCCTGTTGTTTACAGTGACAGTGATGTTTCAACGCAGCATAACACTGCTAGTTCACCACCTTAAGTTTTGAATAATCAGTGGCAAAATATCTTTGTAAAACTTGTTTTCATAGTTGAAAAGTTAAATCACAATTCTTGTTGTGCAATGGTAAACCTTTATGTTGAAAGAGTGCAAATATATATATATATATATATATATATATATATATATATATATATATATATATATATATATATATATATACATATTTTAATATATATATTGCACTTATACATTCTGTTTATCTTGAAAATACTTAAATAATATGTGCTATATGTTCTAAAATGGCCCTCTACTGTAAACTGACACTCTGGCTCTGAGAGAAAAGACAGTTTGTAAAAAAAGTCTTGGTTTTGCTTGGTTAATAAATAATCAAACTCATTCAATGGCACAGCATCCTCTTTCACATCATCTCATAAACTTGATCTAATTAGTTTTTTTTTTTTTTTTTTTTATTGGGTTTTTCACAACATTAAAACAAGACATCTGAACAACACATTACAATAAAACAACTCCAGAATAATAAACAAAACTTTAAAAAAATAAAATAAATAAATAGCAACAGTAAAAAAGTAAAAAATACAAATGAATAAATAAATAAAATAGAAAAATTATAAAAAAATTAAAATTAAAAAATTAAAATTAATAAGGAGTATTTTTTTGCCTACAACATCAAAAGTAGTTCACTGTTTGACCTTGATGCTTTAAGTTCTATTCTGCTGTCAGGTCCACTTGGTTGCAAAAGTGTAGAAAGGGGTTCCAAATGCAATAAAAGTCTTTTAACTTCCCTTTGATAATGTACGTTAGTTTTTCCAGAGCAAGATTACAGGACATTTCCTTGATCCATTGATTAGAAGAGGGCCTTTGAGTCTCTTTCCATTTTAATGCAATAACACGCTTGGCCTGCAGCAAACTAAAATCTATTAGTTTGCGCTTCTTTGTATTCACAACCAAAGTACTTGGGTATATATGAAATAAACACAGCTTGGGGTCAAGAGGAACATTTTCCTCTGTTAATTGACTAATCAAACAAAGAGTCTCCTTCCAGAATTTCTGCAACTCTTTACATGTCCACACACAGTGATAGAGTGTACCTATTTCTTCTCTGCATTTTGTACACACGTCAGAGATATTTGAATTAAATTTATTTAGCTTTACTGGGGTAATGTATGTTCTAAAAAGCCATTTATACTGCATTAGTCTACATCTAGTGTTGATACTATGGCTTTGGGCAAACACACATGATTCTTCCCATTCTTCCTTTGAAATATTTTCCTGGATATCATTTTCCCATGCAGATAGGTAAGATAAAGAATTTTCTTTTGACCCCTCAAGAAGTAAATTATAGAATGAGGATAGGTTACCCCTGCTGTTCAAGTGTTTTAAGGTGTGATTTTCAATGGTTGACAGTGGAGGTTCTGTATAATCTTTCCTTTGAGAGTATACAAAGCTCCTGACCTGTAAGTATTTAAAGAAGTGATTCTGAGGAAGGCCATAATGTTTCACCATTAATTGAAAAGACATTAATGAACCTTCTTCATACAAGTCTTTAATTTGACTAATGCCTTTAAGCATCCAGTTTTTAAATCCAATATCATTTCTACCAGGTATAAATACTGAATTACCCCAAATTGGTGAAAGACCTGATAATTTAATTTCTTCGTCTAAGAATTTATGCGCTTCATACCATACAGATATGGTATTTCTAAGAAAAGGGTTTTTAGTATTTTTTTTTAGAAATTTTATTGGGGAAGAATACAGATATGTCTGTAATGGGAATGTTGTTTCATTATTTTCCAGATCAACCCATGCCGGAGATGTGTTTGTATTTTTGAAGTAGTACATGGCTGTACAAAGTTGGGCTGCCCAATAATATAGTTTAACATTTGGTACTCTCAGTCCTCCTCGTTCATATGGCAGATAAAGGAGGGACAAGCGTAATCTAGGTTGTTTATTATTCCATATAAACTTTGTGAATGTTTTATTAAGTGTGGAAAAGAAAGAGGCCGAAAGTGGCAGTGGAATCGATTGGAAAAGATACAAAAACTTGGGCAGAATTGACATTTTTATGATATTTATGCGTCCAATAATAGAAATGGGTAATGAATTCCACCTCTCAAGTGAGTCTATAACTTTACTTACTAATGGGTCATAATTAGTCGAAATAATCTTATTTATATTGGAGGTTATCTTAATACCTAAATATATAAATCCTTCAGGGGTGTTAATAAATTGTCTATTAGATGTAGAATTTCTTCTTTCATCTTCATTTAAGATTAACAGGGCACTTTTATTATTGTTAATTTTATAACCAGAAAAGTCTTTAAATTCAGAAAGTATGTTGTTAAGTGTTGGAATAGAAGTCTTCAAATTTGAAAGAAAAACTATAATATCATCTGCAAACAAAGATATACAGTGTTCCTTTTCTCCTACTGTTATACCTTTTATATCAGGATTATTACGAATTGTCATTGCAAGAGGTTCAACTGCAAATAAAAACAATAGGGGGGACAAAGGGCATCCTTGGCGTGTGCCTCTACTTAATTTAAATGGTTTTGAAATTTGGTTATTTGTTATTAGTTCTGCCTGAGGTTCTGTATAAAGTAATCTGATCCATTTAAGATAACCATCTCCCAGTCCGAATCTTTTGAGTGTTTCAAACAGATAGCCCCACTCAATCCTGTCAAAGGCCTTTTCAGCGTCCAATGACAGGATTGCGTGGTCTTTGGCATTTCGCTTTTTGTATAGTATATTAATAACCCTACGGGTGTTATGAAAGGCTTGTCTTCCAAGCACAAATCCATTTTGGTCGTTCATGATGAGGTTGGGCACCAGTGTTTCAATTCTATTAGACAGCACTTTGCAAAGAATGTTCGTGTCACAAGACATTAAAGATATTGGTCTATAAGATGATTTATCCTTGGGAGATTTTCCTGGTTTTAATACAAGCGTTATTAGTGCAGCTCTTAACGAGGGTGGTAGAATACCTTTTTCCAGCGACTCATTAAATACTTCAAGTAAGTGGGGCATAAGTTTACCTGCAATTTTTTTGTAAAATTCTACAGGTATACCATCGGGCCCAGGAGCCTTTCCACGATTCATACACTGTAATGCTTCTTGCAGCTCTTCGATACTTAAATTTTCCTCCAATTTACATCTATCCTCATTTGATACAGTAGGGAAATTTAGTTTATCCAAAAAGGAATCTTGTTTTTCTAAGATGTTTGTGTTTTCCGATTTGTATAAATCCTCATAGTATGTCTTTAAAACATTATTAATTTCTTGTGGGTCTACAATATTCTCTCCATTTTCATTTATAATTGAATTAATTGCTCTATCTGCCCGAATCTTTTTGATTCTCCATGCCAGTAATTTCCCTGCTTTTTCGCCCTGGTCATAATAAGACTGTTTTAACCACATTAAATTTTTAACTATCTTGCTACTAGTTAATTCATTATATTGGGCTTTAAGTGTTAATATTTCTTTTTGTTTCAGAGGATCATATCTATTAAATAGTTGTTGCTCTATTGCTTTAATTTGCTTTTCTAGATTTTCAACTTGAGTATAATATAATTTGGTTTTATGCCTTGTAAAGCTTAGTATCTCCCCTCTTATATAGGCTTTAAAGGCCTCCCATTTCACAGAGGCACTTGTCTGGTCCGTATTCACTAGAAAATACTGATCTATTTTATTGTCCATAAAATTAACAAAGTCTGAATCTTGAAGCCATCTTGCCTGAAATCTGAATCTAAAAGGGGAGAACGAGAGCTTGCTAATTTGAATTGTTACTGTAATTGGGGCATGGTCCGAAAGTATAATGCTATCATAATAACATTTACCAACTTTTGAAATTAGGCTGTTAGAGATCAAAAAATAATCTATTCTAGAATATGTTTTATAGGTACTGGAAAAGCATGAAAATTCTTTTTTATTAGGGTTAAGGTATCTCCAGATTTC